ATAAGGAGTGTTGGGCTTGGTGGTACACACATTTGACTCTAACACTAGGAAGGCAGAGGCAAGTGGATCTCTGTGAGACTGATGCCAGCCTGGTCTACAAAGTGAGTTCCAGGCCAGCTGGGGCTACAGGGAGACCCTATCTCAAAAAAATACATATAAGTAGGGGCTGGAGAAATGGCTCAGTAGTTAAGAGCACTGACTGCTCTTGCAGAGGACCCAGGTTTGATTTCCACATGGTGACTGGCACCATCCGTTAACTCCAGTACCAGGGGATCCAATACCCGCTTCTGACCTCCAAGGGCACTGCACGACACGAGTGCACTTAACACACATGCAGGCAATACACTCATACACATAAAATAAAAATAAATATTAAAAAAGAAAAAACATGCCGTGCATGGTGGCGCACACCTGTAGTTCCAGCAGTTGGGAGGCAGAAGCAGGTGGATCTCTGTGAGTTCAAGGCCAGCCTGGTCTACATAGTGAGTTCCAGGACAGCTCAGGCTACAAGGAGACCCTGTCTCAAAAAGACCAAAGAAAAAGAAAAAAAGAAAAAAACACGTCTAAATAAAAATAATAAAAATTAATGAGTTGGAAAGTTTGCCCTTTTTCTAATTGTTGGAACAATTTATACAGGGTAGGGATTATTAAGGGATGGAGATGCAGCTGGGTGGTATAGTGCTTGCCTAGCATGCTTCAAAACTCTAGGTGTGATTACACATATAGGGAGTCGTTTGATTGAAACCTGATGAAAAGTGTTTGTAGGGCCATTATTACTTTGTTTTGTTTTTGTTTTCTGAAATAGGTTCTCACTATGTATCCCAGGCCAGCCTCAAACCTGTGATTCCTCTGCCTCCCTAGTACTAGGATACAGGTGTGAACCACCCAGCCCAGCTCTAGAGCAAATTGTGATTACTTCAAATTCAATAGTTCTAGTCAAGATTTCTATGCCTTCTTGAATCAATTTTGATAATCTTAAATTTTATTATTATTATCATTAATAATATATGGGTATATATGGGTATATGGGTACATGCATCATGGCACATGTTGAAGTCAGAGGGCAATTTTATGGAGCTGGTCTCTTCTTCGTCCTTAACTTGGGTTCTGGGCTCAAACTTAGGTTGTCAGGTTTGTGCAACAAATGCATTACCCATTGTGCCATCTTGTTGTCCTTTATAGTAATGATAAATAAATTTTATTTCACTTCCTAGTTTTTTTGTTAGTATAAAGTTCATTTTTTATTATAGTTTTAAAACCTAGTATTAATAGTATTGAAAGCTATAGTCATACTGATTAAGAAAAAAGACATATGCCCTTAATGTTTTGTATGCATTAAATTTTTAAAAAATGTTATTATCTTTTTGTGTATGAGTGTTTTTGCTTGCATGTATCTAAGTGCACCTATTTGTTCAATGCCCCCAAAGGCCAGAAAAGGGCCTTGGATCCCCTGGAACTGATATTACAGAAGACTTAGCCACCATGTAGGTGCTATGAACCAATCTGGGGTCCTTTATAAGAGCAGACAGTGCTCTTAACCACTGAGCCATCTCTCCAGCCCCCACATGTTTATTTCTATCAATCTTACCACAAGTTTTAATATTATCAATACCAAAGAATTGGCATTGGATGAACATTGTTAATCCTTACCTTGTATTCTTATAAATACATATCGATGAACCTACATGTTAATTCTGAAAATTCTGAAATTATTAAATGTTATTATTATCTTTATCATCCTGAAACTCTAGACACATAGTAAAACTGGAGGTAATAGTAACATTAATTTACAAATTACATCAAAGTAGCTTTGTTCTTTGTTGGAGTTTCTATCAATTAGGGGACATGTTCTGAACATTTAAACAAACCTCAAGATACACTGTGGACCAGGCATATAACTAACAGTGGACTGGATAAATGACAGTACTTCAAATAGTTAATTATTACTTTTTGAATGGCTATACTCAAAGAATAACAATTAGAGAAACTCAATGAACTTGTGGAAGACTTTTAGTATCATCCTATTTAATACTTCTGAAAATTTAATTTTTATATCTCTGGGAATTGAACCCAGGACCTTTGAAATGCTAGGCGTATGCTGTACCATTGACCTATACTCCAGTCCTATTCAACTTTTTTTTTTTTTTTTTTGAGACAGGGTCTGTGTATCCTTGGGCAGTCAGAAACTCACTATGTAGATCAGACTGGCCCTGAACTCACAGAGATCCATTTGCCTATGCTTCTCCAAGTGTTTAGGATTAAAGGTGGGGGGCAACATGCCTGGTCTGTTCAATATTTTTGTAGCTGGGTGTGATGGCTCCAATCTGGAATCAAAGTACATGGAAGGCTGTAGCAGGATCATCACGTTTGAGGCCAGATCCTGTCTCCAACAAAATGGGACTAGGTATTTTTTTTTTAATTTTATTATTTTTATTTTATTGCATGTATATAAGGCTCATAAGCCTAAAATACTATTTGGTCCTTTATGACCCTTGATCTAGGTGTATTAAAACGTAATTGGTTTGGTTGATGACAAAGTCAATATAAGTCAACAGTGCATTACACCTATCCCCAAAGGTAAAGAATATTTTAGAGTTGGGCTGGGGGTTATAGCTCAATGGGAAAATGCCTGCCTATGGCCATGAAGCCCTAGTTTGGTCTCCAGCACCACAAATCAAAACAAAAAAGAAGTATTACATTCCACCAAAATTTTTGAACACCAACAAAGACCCATGTGAACCAAGGGCCAGGTACTACACTCACAAAGATGAATACAACCTGGACGGAGATTTGGTTCTCATCAGGCTACATCTGATAATGAGGAAGGACACAACTAGGTACTAACAGTGTGATTCACATCCAGAATACTGTGTTCACTTCTGGGTATTATGTTTCAAGAATATCATGAAGTTTGATACTGTTCAGGGCAGAGTAAAAAGTTCATGATGCAGATGTAGATCAGTGGTTGCACAAGTGTTTAGCTGGTCTGAGCCCTGAAGTTCAATCTCTAGCACAGGGGGAAAAAATAAAAGATCATGATGACCTATAAACATAACCAAAAGTTTTAACATAATTAGTATTGCCCACAAATGGAAAAAGGGTTCAAATTTTTCTTCTATAGCTTCAAGACGATGAACTGGACTCAATGAGTATGAATTTTATGCAGATCACATATAAATTTTTCTACCAAAGTAAAGATTTTAAATCTTTTCTATCCCTGAAAATGTCCAAGAGTAAGCAATAGTATATGAAGAAGATGAAAGAAAGGATTCCTACGTTGGAAGCTCTTCTGGGCTGAGTGAAATCTAGAAATGGTAGATTAGGGATGGATAGATTAGATGAAGGACTCTAAAAGCCAGGCGAAAGCTGGGGGTGGAAAAAGGAATCTGCAGTCCCAGCCATCTGGAAGCTGAAGGAAGAGTATCACTGAAGCCCAGGAATTCTTGCCTCCATGCTCAGGCACACACACACACACACACACACACACACACACACACACACGCGCGCGCGCGCGTGCGCGCTCACATAAACAAATGTAGTAAAATATCTAAAAATAAAAAGAGCTACAGTGCTCCCTTCTGCAGTGTGTACTAAAATTGAAACCAGAAAGATGCATGCATGGTTCCTGCAAAAGGATGACAGAAAAATCCATGCTGTTCTCCATTTTTTAATTCTACTTTTTGCCATCTGAATTGATGTGAATGTGTCACAACAGGTAAATGTAGTGTGTATTTATGTGGACAGAAAGGTGTAAGGGAGAATTAATACATTTTAAAAAGCTAAAAGTCAGAGGAGGCAAAAGCTGGAGATGAAAAGGGAGTTTGAGGCCATTCTGGGAAGCTATCCTGGGCTATATAAGACCTGCTCTCAAAAAAAACTCACATAATCATGACAGATTTCTGTGGGATAGGAGGCCAGCCTAGTCTATATAGCAAGTTCCAGGCAGGCTGGGGATACAGGGAGACCCTGTCTCAAAAAGATTTAAAAAAAAAAAAAAAAAAAAGAAAGAAAGAAAAAAGAAAAGAAAAAAAAAATCCCACAGGAAAAAAACAACCGAACCAAATAAATGAGTTACACTTGGGGAAACGGATCTCACACGATGTGCAGTGAACAGGAGTGAGTATGCTCTTCAAATACCCTCTTTTCTGATCTCATTCTTAAATTATCGAAGATGGCTACGGAAGCAAACAAATGCTTTACTACACAACGCATTCCATACATATTTCCACTAGTATCTACCCAGTTAAACAAGGAAGGGCAGAGCTGGGTTCTTAAACGGTTAGGGTTCTTTTGTTGCAAATCATGAGAGGCAAACCAGTGACAGGTAACCCACTGAGCCACTCTGACATGCAGGTTTGGGATGTCATGCTTTACTCTGAACACCACTATATCACTGTTAAATTCTAAGATACCGTCCTTTCTTTTTAAATCGCTGACTGTGGGCGCCTTATCCTCAACCAGGGCCACTAGTTTTTCATGTCCCGTTCAAAGGCCCTTTCTGGAACTTCTTTCAGAAAAGCCTCTCTGGGTCAAATCCTAGACTGACTTTTGCCAGCACCCAAGTTCTGGTACTCTTAGAACTGCGACCCCTAGTCTTTTCCTATGTCATCCAGTGGTAACTCTGGTGTAAATCAGAAAAATCTCGATAGAGCGTAGGATGGCGTAGGCGAATAGGAAATATCACTCTGGTTTGATGTGTGGTGGTGTGTTTAAGAAGGTAGCAGCTCAGACACCATCTTGTCACCTCCACCAGCCCCAGGCCCAAAAGATTTAAAACAGCCTAAATGCACCCGCATCCACATTAAGTTTATTAACTGAGCCTCAAAGATGCAGATGGCATGTTTTGGCATATTAACTGGGGTATTGTTTTTCCTGTCCTTCGAGGGGTCAAAGCATTTCGGGCCACTAAAAGGTTCTTGGGGGAGCCTTAGTGTCTCCATGGCCGGGAGGAACCAGGCCGCCTGCGCCTCCCGCCCTGCCCACGCGCCGCGTCTCCTCACGGCCTCTTTTCCGCGTACTCCCGTCCCTCTCGCATCCCGCGCGGGCCTGCCCGCCCACGGCGCCGCGCACACCCGCTCGCCTGGGCCTCGGTAGTTCCACGGAAAGACGGTCCGCTCTGGATCCCCGCCCCGAGCTCCCGGACCTACCCCTCCCGGCCTGCCCGCCCACGGCGCCGCGCACACCCGGTCGCCGGGGCCTCGGTAGTTCCACGGAAAGACGGTCCGCTCTGGATCCCCGCCCCGAGCTCCCGGACCTACCCCTCCCGGCCTCCGCGAAGTTTCCGGGCGCGCGCACCTCACAGTTCCGCCCCGCCCTCGCCCGTGCACCCCGCTGACACGCCTCCATCAGGCCTACCCACCCCGGGTTCCCCTCGTCCGCCCCAACACCCCCACCACCAGAGCGCGCAGAGGTCCGAGGGGACACGCCCTCGCGCCGTCACGCACGCGCAACGCGCAACGCCCAGCCCTGCCCCCTCCAGCCTTTCCCGCTTCAGCCCCGCTCCCTCAAGTCCCCGGTCCCACCCACGCCCGACCCCGCCCACCACACACCACGCCCTCCGTAGGGCCCGCCCCCCGAACTGCC